AATAATAATAATAATAATAATAATAAAGACCACTTCTATATCACCCCCTTCCTGGTGGCTTAAGGCGCTTCAAAATAAGATAAATTTAAATCAAATGTTTTAAGCATACTGGTCCATTCAACTTACAACAATTTTTTCAAATACATAATATACACTCACAATCTGATGAAGACCGCATACACTAAAAGACCTGGTTTTGGAAGAGAATAAAACTAGTTAGTAAAGTGAAATTTAAGTGTTTCAGACCTTGTTCAACTTGTGACCTCATGATCATTCATGTTATTGTTACGTTTCGGTAATTAGCTGTGGATTGTTTTGTACATTCCAACAAAGCAGGGGAGATTACTTTCACTACTTCCTTTAACCCAACCGATCAGCTGTTTGGCCGTTGTCTGCTAAATTGTGTTCCCTCATCATGGCAAGTCAAATCAGACAGACCTGATTTAAATGTGGTCAACATCAGTTTGGTAATGTCTCTGAGGAGGGGGAGGGGAGGGGGGGTTGTTTTTGCTACATATGGGAATCTGGGACAACAGATGGGCACTTGGAAGGTAGATAGATACTTTAGCTAAAGTAATAGTTTCACGGCACTTGCAACACAAATAGGTCATATAAGAGTGGAAAATTAGAGGTGCTACTCGAGATTAACATACTTGGAAAAAAGAAGAAGAGATAATAATGATAGATGTTTGATAGGGAAGAAGGAGCAAACCACGCCAGAGCACCCACCAGGCACCCACTTAAATAGATAGATAAAATAAGATTAATGAGATAACAATAACCATTTATTGATCTCCACAAAGATAAACTTGCTGCAGTATGGTGTGTTTACAAGTGTGTCTGTTTGCGAGTGTCTATAAGTGTGTCTTTCTGTGTGTGTTTCCCCACAGGCGTGTCGCTGATCCTAGTCGCCATCTTGGGTCTAGCCATCACGTTCATGTTTTCCCTGGTAGCTTTCGCTTTCTATCGAGATCTGCTGGACCAGAACAATGGCCGACAATGTGAGACGTCCTACGAGTGTTTTACCACGCTCATACACCATGGCATTGTGGAGGGGATGTATACGGTGAGTGGGGGGAGAGAGAGAGAGTGAGATAGAGAGAGAGAGAGAGAGAGAGAGAGAGAGAGGGAGGGAGAGAGAGAGTGTGTGTATATGTGTGCGTGTGAGAGAGAGAAGGGGGGG